AAAAAAAAAAAAAAAAAGATCTGCAAAATAGATGCCATCCCTGTAATTTTAACTTAAACAAGTTCAGCTTCAGAGTTAGGCTTGTTGGGCTCAGAGGGTAGATAATAAATACCGGACACACCAGCACTGACGGTTTTCCTTTGGGAAAAATGCATTCTCGGAGTAAACAAAGAATCTTCTGCATTTTAAAATATGATTTTCAAATGATGCTGGGTGGTGGCAGAATGCCAGGGAAAGTGTGTTCACAGGTGGGCGGGCAGCCCAGAGACAAGTACCCAAGCCAGAGCCCTGGCAGAGGAGGCACGGAGCAAAGTGAGTCCCGAGAGGCTGGCTGAGGGGTGGTCTGTACAGTTGAGGGGTGCAGTCTGCATCATGAGGGATATGGTCTGCAAGGTGAGGGGTCCGTACTTTGTTCACGCTGGGTTTTGCATCTTTTTTTTTTTTTTTTTGAGACAGAGTCTCACTCTGTTACCCTCAGTAGAGTGCTGCGGTGTCACAGCTCACAGTAACCTCAATGGGTTTTCCTTCTTGCAGGGAACACAGCCCTCCTGGCAGCTAACCTGCTGTTTGAGATGCTGTGTGTTCTCCCCAAAGTGACAACCGTCTGAGTCTTCTGCTTTTCAAGACAAAACAGATTACATTGCTGAGAAATTCTTAAGAATTTATGAGTGAGCAGTCTTGAGTTTATGCCATTGAGACTATGCAAAAAAGTGTCATTGGTGGCTGTAAAATCAGGATATTCAGTAGAACTCAAACCCAAATGGCGAACATTTCTAAGGAGTTTGGATTAACTAAAAACAAAAAAAAGAAGCACTTCTACTGCTTTGATTTTTTTCCCCTCTATTAAATGATGATGTGAAGAATAAAGGGGAAGAAATGGAGAATTTCATTTATGATTATCTAAAAATTGGAAAAATGAAATAAAAAATACCTCCTAAACATTCTGTATTTCCATAGTATCTTCCTTTAGCTTCTCCTCTGAGTTCAGGACTGCATCTTGCCTTTAGGACCATTGTGAACATAAATAAGTTTAAATGAAAGTTCCACAGAACTCCTAATGAAGAAACTTCCTGCTCAAAAGCCCAGGAGGGTGCACAGAATATCTTCTTCTTTTTTTTTTTTTTTGAGACAGAGCCTCAAGCTTTGCCCCTGGGTAGAGTGCCATGGCATCACAGCTCACAGCAACCTCCAACTCCTGGGCTCAAGCGAGTCTCCTGCCTCAGCCTCCCAAGTAGCTGGGACTACAGGCGCCCACTACAGCGCCCGGCCATTCTTTGGTTGCAGCCATCATTGTTGTTTGGCGGGTCCGGGCTGGGGATTTGAACCTGCCACCTGAGGTGCATGTGGCTGGTGCCTTAGCCGATTGAGCCACAGGCGCCGAGCCAGAATATCTTCTAAACCAGAAAACATCTGAGCTCTTGCTTTTTTTCTTTTCTGAGATAGAGTCTCCAGCTGTTGCCCTGTGTAGAGTTCCATTGCATCATAGCTCACAACAACCTCCAACTCTTGTGCTCAAGTGATTCTCTTGCCTCGGTTTTTCTATTATTTATTTATTTATTTTAATCTTGTTTGTTTTTTTTTAGAGACAAAGTCTCATTTTGTCGCCCTTGGTAGAGAGTACTGTTACATCATAGCTCACAGCCACCTCCAGCTCTTGGGCTTAGGTGATTCTCTTGCCTCAGCCTCCCAAGTAGCTGGAACTACAGGTGCCTGCCACAAAGCCTGGCTATTTTTTTGTTGCAGTTTGGCCGGGACTGGGTTTAGAACCTGCCACCCTCGGTATATGGGGGGCTGGCACCCTATTCACTGAGCCACAGGCGCTGCCCTGGTTTTTCTTTCTACTAGAGATGGGGTCTCACTTTTGCTCAGGCTGGTCACAAACTCATGAGCTCAAGCTATCCACCCACCTCAGCCTCTCAAGAGTGCTAGGATTACAGGTCTGAGCCACTGTACCCAGCCTAACATCCGCTGAGCTCTTGACGAAGCTTCTAACTTACTTCCTAAAAGACTCAGTTTTGCATTATCTGCTCTCAAGCCAATGTACCCTCTGCGACAATAATTCCTGAAATCTGTAATTAAGCCATGCTGATCTTAAGCGTGTGTTGAATTACATGCGAATTCAGTTTTACTAATAGTATGTCCGTGATCAAATCATCATCTTGCAATGCAAGGGCTACCTCATAATCATCACACATTAAAATAGTTTATTTCTGTTTTCAGTCTGTAATATTCTTAAAACAAAATAACATCAACTTCAGTGCCTGTTCACCATACAAAAAAAACCCCAAACAAAAAAGATACCCCAAACATAAAAAAGACACAATTTGCCAAATAAGTTATTTGTTCCTAAGAGTATCAAAAGTGCAAAATAGTCGTTCACCCTCTTTTCAAATGTCTCTCAAATATCATTATTCTCCTTAACAAACTGAGCAGATTCAGCAGCTGCCACACGGTATTTGTTTTCAAGGGACAATGGACTTGAATTACATTTCCTCTGTAAAGATGTTTTGCATCAGCTTTTAAAGAATTCCACTTAAAAAAAAAAAAAGGGTTTTGAGTGTTTGCTTCCAATCCCTAGTCCCCCCCCCAAAGCAAATACCTTAGAACACAGTTGGATCCCATTTCATTTTATATATGGAAAACATGTACTGATGGCAGCTGCAAGTTGATTAGGGTACAAGTATGAATAGGCTGCAAATGAGGAGAAAATCAACCTGTCTACAGCCAAATTCTCATCCATAAGTGATGGCAAGAGAGCATGGCCCCTGATGGAAGTTCGGACAGTTCTGCTCACTGAAATGGTGCTGAGTGGGAGCCGATGACTTCAGCTAATGACAATTAACTAACTATGCAGCCAACACCTGAGCAATAAAGCAATTTTTTTTTTAAATGGATGTGTATTCTACAAAGACTTATTTTAGGCCAGTTTCACCCTGTCCGCTAAACATGATGCAGAGTCTGTATCTACCAGAAAAGCCCACCTTGGAAAACATCAATGTTGATATTCAAAGATAGGGCATTAACTTAGAACTCAAATTGGGTCCTGTGTGATTGCGTACATCAGAAGGAGAAACAGTGGCACTGGCTGAGCAGGACAACAGCTCATACCTTTGACATAAAAGTAAACAAGTTCTTGGAAACAGTCAGGAGGAAAGTCTTGGGTGACCAAGGGTAAAGTTCAAGTTAAAAGCTCCCTAGTATCCTCATGGGGGAACATATCTACCAGCCTCCAAATGGATCTGCAGAATATTTGGGCTGAGTCATTTGCCAGAAATATTGACAATCTTATTACCACTTTTCTTTCCTAGTGCAAATGGAAGATGTGGCTATATGGAAGTGTTTTATTTACTTATATTTTGAGACAAGGTCTCACTCTGTCACCCAGGTTGGAGTCTTCTTGCAATCATAGCTCATTCCAGTCTCAAACTCCTGGGCTCAAGGGATCCTCCTGCCTCAGCCTCCTGAGTAGCTGGCACTACAGGCATGTGACCATGCCTAGCTAATTTTTCTTTTTTTTTTTTTGACAGAGTCTCACTTTGTTATCCTTGGTAGAGTGCAATGGAGTCATAGCTCACACAACCTCAGAATGTTGGGTTCAAGTGATCCTCTTGCCTCAGCCTTCCGAGTAGCTGGGACTACAGGCGCCCACTACAATACCTGGCTATGTTTAGAAATGAAGTCTTGCTCTGGCTCAGGCTGGTCTCGAGCCTGTGAACTCAGGCAATCCACTCGCCTTGGCCTCCCAGAATGCTAGAATTACAAGTGTGAGCCATCGCACCCGGCCTAGCTAATGTTTTTCATTTTCTTTTTTGTTGAGACATGGTCTCGCTATGTTGCTTAGGCTGGGCTTGAACTCCATGCTTCAAGCCACCCTCCTGCCTTGGCTTCCCAAAGTGCTGGGACTATAGGCGTGACCCACAGTACCTGGCCCTGAAGGTGCTTTTTATTGTAATGATAAACATTTTTTGAATGAACAAATATGGGTAATTTTTGGTTTTTAGACATTAAGGTTAGGAATTTCATTAGTACCAGGAATTAAAAACAAAAACCTACCACCAAACGCAAACCCTATGCTTATGTATAACCTGGCCATAATGAACTCACAAAATATTTTTTTTTTTGAGACAGTCTTACTATGTCGCCCTCAGTAGAGTACTGTGGTGTCACAGCTCACAGCAACCTCAACCCGTGGACTTAAAAGAGATTTCTTGCTTCAGCCTCCCAAGTAGCTGGGACTACAGGCACCCACCACAACACTTGGATATTTTTTTGTTGCCATTATCATTGTTGCACTGTTGTTTAGCAGGCCTGGGCCAGTTTGAACCTGCTAGCCCTGGTTTATGGGGCTGGTGCCCTAACCACTGAGCGGCTGTAGGCACAGAGCCATATATATATATGTGTATATATATATACTTTTTTGCAGTTTTTGGCTGGGGCCGGGTTTGAACCCACCACCTCTGGTATATGGGGCAGGCTACTCCTTTGAGCCACAGGCGCTACCCATATATATATATATATTTTTTTTTTTTTTTTTTTGCAATTTTTTTTTTTTTGGCTGAGGCTAGGTTTGAACCCGCCACCTCCAGCATACGGGGCCAGTGCCCTACTCCTTTGAGCCACAGGAGCCACCATATATATATATATATATATACATATATATATATATATATATATACACAGACAGAGTTTTACTTTGTTATTCTTGATAAGAGTACCATGGCATCATAGCTCACAGTAACACCGAAATCTTGGGCTGAAGCAATTCTCTTGCCTCAGCCTCCCAAATAGCTGGGACTACAGGTGCCTGCCACAATCCCTGGCTATTTCTAGAAACAGGGTCTTGCTCTGTCTCAGGGTGGTCTTGAACAGTGAGCTCAGGCAATCCACCCATGTCGGCCTCTCAGAATGCTAGTATTACAGGTGTGAGCCACTGTGGCCAGCTCCCAGAAATTGATTTTAAGAACTGGTGTATCAAGGAGCCAGATAAATTCCTTTTTTGGATGGGGAGGACAGAGGGAGACTCCATCACCTGGGCTAGAGTGCAGTGGCATTATCATAGCTTACTGCAACCTCAAATTCCAGGGCTCAAGTGATTTTCCTGCCTTAGCCTGCTGAGTGGCTGGGACTATAGGTGTGTCCCACCACACCCAGCTAATTTTTTCTATTTTTTGAAGAGAGGGGATCATGAAGGCTCTCAGAGCTGCTCCACTCTAACTACTGCCCAGGCCTCCCTTCTTTTTTCTTGGGGACCCACATGTAGAACCCCAGACTCTTGCTTGGGCTGGTCTCAAACTCCTGACCTCAAGCGATACTCCTACCTTGGCCTCCCAGAGTGCCAGGATTACAGGCATGAGCCACTGTGCCCAGCTGAATTCCTTGACTATTTCTAACTGGGCCAGGTGCCATGAGATACAACATTCAGAATATGCATCCATATTTGGAGGATCATATGGAAGAATGAAGCCTGGCAGTGATTTCTTTATTTTTTAATAAAGCTATAAACTCCATGAAAACTATAGGAATTCCTGGGCTTCAATAATTTATTACTTATCAGTGTAGCTCAATATTTAAATTATTCAGGATCCAAGTGGCTTAGTTTAAAGCAATTATGATTAACTTAGTAAATGTTCTATCACTGATTTTCACCCTTCGCTTTATAAAAGGGCAATTGCTTTGACATTTGAACAGAGCCCACTCTTTGAAGCTGTCCAAACTCCATTGGTGTTTTTGCCCTAAAAATTAAAAGGTTTGTTCTCCAACTGGCCTGTATGATCTAGCCTGGGGTCCATTACCCACTGGAGCTCAGCAAGCTCAGGGCTGACGGTTACTCCCGCCCTGATACTGGTGAAGCAGTTTGTAAGTTAAGAGTGAAAACAATTAAGATAAAACCTCCAAATATAGGCCAGAAGTGGAAAGCCTTTTGCAAAACAGGAGTTCAGAACAAGTCTTGGCTCGCGTGTGTCACAAAAGACAGTTTGAAGATACAGCACTCTGGGGTAAAGTGTTCAAAATATGATTGCTGAGAAATTTTAAGTTCCTGGATACAAAGATATGTCTGATATGTAACTAAAGAAACACCACTGGAGTAAGGAGTTCCTGGAGCCTGACTCATGCAGGTGGGAATAAATTCTCTTCAGTTTAACATCTACTGGTTTTAGAGCAGCTTATCTCTACGTTCAGAGAGTAAGATTACAAGTTATGGCTCCTATTATCCATACCCTAAAATCGAGAGAGGCAGAAAGGCATCTGAAAACATACAAGTCAATGGCTCAAAGTCATTACAGTACTTCTTGCTGTGCAGGCGGTGCTGAGGCAGTGGTTGGGAGGCTCCCAAAGCCTCACCCAGCTCCTCTGTTCCAGCCATAGCCCAGGCCTCCCTTCTGTTTTCTTGGGAACCCACATGCAGAACCCCCATTCTTCCCTTTCCTTTTCAGCTGTGGGCAACAAACTGTTGTGGGGGATACCCCCAAAATATCCTTTTAGCCACTTATTCCCAGAACCACCACCAAATGTGAGATTGCTTGGAACTAGGCCTCTTCCAAGATGCAGGGCTAGAAGCGGCTGTGGGCCGTTCAGTGTCAAGAGCATGCGCCAGGGCAGAAGCACGGCAGGGCCAAGGTGGTGGGGCAGGGCATGGGGGATGAGGCTAATAACCTGGCCTGCACAACAGGCTCAGGAGGGTCTGCCCAGGTGCTGCTGCAGGGCTGAGCCCCGTGTTTCTCTAACGTAAGAGAAAGGACAGGAGAGGGTGAGGGTGAGCCTGTGACAGGGATGAGGGAGGAACAGGGAGGAAGCAGTCTATTTTAAATAGAGCGGCATTCAAATGAGGGGGGAAAAGAAAACCAAAGGAAAATATTTTGATCTAGGGAATTCAAACTTGTGGAGTTTTCACTCCGAGGTTAGAACAGGACAAAGGAAAGATTCTTCTAGCCATTGTTCTAGAAGAGTAATCTAAAATCTATACTCTCTTCATTGTGATAGTTTGAGTCCTGAAAATACCTGTTCACAGGGGCACGTTAAAAAGTCTGAAGAGTTCAAATCTCTTTCGAAATCCTCTCAGTCTAGTTCCGGCCATGATGGGATATAAAACCTCTGTAAGGAGCCCTCCAACAGGCGTTCCATCCATAAGGACAACTTGCTCAATTTCCCTTTGATGGGCCTGGATCCAAGGCCACTGGAAGATTTCCCTCGAGATTCGCTCAGGTGGAGGGAAGAGTCAAGATCACTGCAGGAGCCCAGGGCTTCCTCCTCTTCGACTGTTTTTTGGGGCTTGAAGAGGCAGAAGTATTTCTTATGGCCATTCAGAGCCAGTACATAACCAGTGTAGTCACGTTCCATGAAATGCTTGTCATACTGGTTTGGGATGGGGGCTGCATCCTGAGCAAATTCCAGTAAGTATTCTAGCCATTCTCTGTGTTTATCTAGACTCAGGAAGGAGAAGTGTAGGCAGTTGCTCCTGGAAGAAAAATAGAAAGAGGATTCAGTGTATTTTCTAACACATCGAATAGCAGGGAAATAAATATCCCAGTGAGACTTCGAATAATAGGAAAAGGCTCTGTGCTGGATGGAGCCTGAACACCAGAAAAGTGAGAGATTTCTTTTTTTTTTTTTTTTTTTTGAGACAGAGCCTCAAGCTGTCCCCCTGGGCAGAGTGCCGTGGCATTACAGCTCACAGCAACCTCCAACTCCTGGGCTCAAGCGAGTCTCCTGCCTCCGCCTCCCAAGTAGCTGGGACCACAGGCGCCCGCCACAACGCCCGGCTATTTTTTTTTGGTTGCAGCTGTCATTGTTGCTTGGCGAGTCCGGGCTGGGGATTCGAACCCGCCACCTTAGGTGTACGTGGCTGGCGCCTTAGCCAGTTGAGCTACAGGCGCCGAGCCAAAAGTGAGAGATTTCTGTGGGAGTCAGAGGGCCTCTTATAACAGCTGGAGACTTCATTGCCCTCCCCCATCCCCTGCAAAGTGTAATTTTTATCACTCTTGGTTTCTGGCTTCTGGAATATACACAGAGCTGGAGAACAGGCAGTTTTCTGAAAGGAATTTAGGAATTAACAGTGACATCTAGCTCCTGTGTTCTGAATCAACAGAATATGAAGCCAAATGGGAAAAGAAGTCCCTCTCATGATGGCTTTACATGTCTGACTGGAAAGGTCACAGCCAACATGGTCGCAGCATGGATAAAGCACTAACTGCCTTCCCCCCAAAAAAAGTGGGGGGGCAATTTTGCTCCAGTTTCCTCTTTACATATGTGTGTGCGTACACGCTTACCCAGTGAATGTGTAGACCTCCAAAGCAAATTTCTGGAGTAGGCTGTTCTTGGTGGAATTTGACAGGATGAGGACCACGTTCATGTGGCCTGGCCTCAGGCGTACCAAATTACTGGTGTATGTCACATCTGTGAGTTCAGTCACCTCCACAAAGCCTTTTTTAGGAATCTTGCTGTGGAGAAATATTGAGGAGTTACGATGTTATCAGGATAATGGGCTGCCGTTACTTCAGAAAGGAACAAGTGGAAGAAAACGCTATATTCTAACCAGACCAGATTTGTTACTTCATGTTCTTTTTTTTTTCCTACATGATAAGCCTTACCAAAGCAAGGCCTTCAAAAAATTGGTCAAAAACTCAGATCTGTTTCTCTCCATGATAGACTTCTCTAATTGGAAGAAAAACCAGAGTTTTATATTCTTTTTTTAATCTTATTCATTTTTTTAGAGACAGAGTCTCACTTTATTGCCCTTGGTAGAGTGCTGTGGCGTCACAGTTCACAGCAACCTCTAACTCTTGGGTGTAGGTGATTCTCTTGCCTCAGGCTCCTAAATAGCTGCGATTACAGGTGCCAGCCACAACGCCTGGGTATTTTTTTTTTGTTGTTGCAGTTTGGCCGGGGCTGGGTATGAATCTGCTACCCTCAGTATATGGGGCTGACGCCCTTCTCACAGAGCCATAGATGAAGGCAACTATCGTTCACTCTGTTTTGTCTCAAAGAGCCTGGCAAGAGGCTAGGCATGTCCTCACAGCTGGTAACATACATCAGCACAGTTATGGTGACAAACCATTCTCTGCTTCTGGAAACTCTACAAGCTCCTTGAGATGCTTCTTTGCTTCTTGCCCTTGTTATTGAATCTGAGATTGGGAAACCAAAGTCACAGGGTATAAGTAGGTCCTGTTTCTTTTTTTTTCTTTTTGAGACAAAGCCTCAAGCTGTCGCCCTGGGTAGGAGTGCAGTGGCATCATAGCTCACAGCAACCTCCAACTCCTGGGCTCAAGCAATTCTCTTGCCTCAGCTTCCCAAGTAGCTGGGACTACAGGCGCCTGCCACAATACCCAGCCATTTTTTGGATGTAGCTGTCATTGTTGTTTGGCAGGCCCAGGCTGGATTCGAACCCACCAGCTCTGGTATATATGGCTGGTGCCTTAGCCACTCGAGCTATAGGCGCCCAGCCAGTAGGTCCTGTTTCTAAATACCTACGAGCCTTATTAAACACCAGCCAGCAGCGAGCACGGTTTAGAACCAGGGTTCTTCTCTCTACTATAGATCCCACCACTGCTTTATTCGATTACAGTCTGTGGGTCTGATGCTGATGGGAGGAAAGTCTGGTGTTTGTTAGAGAAACCTGGTGTTTTCTTTGGTGAAGCTTGGCTCTGTCTTCCCAGCCTTCTCATGGGCTTCCTCTTTATCTGGAGGGTTTGATTCCCGCTCATCATTCGAGTCACTAAAGTAAGAAAAAGGAGTTTTACAAAAAAGCGTACAACAGACCACAGCGGTTTAGGACTCACCCTTCAGAGCTGCACTGGGAGCCACATGGCGTTTACCTGAAAGCCTGGACAATGACGGTGCCGAAGAGGATGAAGAGGGCAGAGAAGATCAGGGACAGGAGAGGCATCATTTCCCGCCTAAAACCGAGTTAACAAACTTATCAGCTCAAGGTGAGGTGCTGTGATTTTAGGTTTCATCTTTCTAGCTCAAAGAAGAAAAAAAAAATCCCAAACCAAAAAACGTTCATACCAATAACACCTTCTAATTTCATGCAAATAGAGGTTTTTTTTTTTTTTACGGTGTTGGGTGGTAGAGGGAAGGGTAGAGATTATTTCCTCAGTGTTCTAATTTAATTCAGACAGCTTATTCTATTCTATTCTATTGCCCCGGCTGGAGTGTAGAGCGCATGATCACAGCTCATTGTAAGCTTGAAATGTGCTGGGGTCAAGGAAAACTTCCACTTCAGCCTTCTGAGTAGGTAGGAATACAGGCCTGTGAGACCACACCTGTAATATATATGTATATTTTTTGAGACAGTCTTTTCAAGATTTTTTTTTTGGCCAGGGCTGAGTTTGAACCCGCCACCTCCAGCATATGGGGCTGGCACCCTACTCCTTTGAGCCACAGGAGCCACCCAAAGACAGAGTCTTACTATGTTGCCCTCAGTAGAGTGCTGTGGTGTCACAGCTCTCAGCAACCTTAAATTCTTGGGCTTAAGCGATTCTCTTGCCTCAGCCGCCCAAGTAGCTGGGACTACAGGTGCCTGCCACAAGGCCTGGCTATTTTTTTTTGTTGTTGTAATAGATGTCATTGTTGTTTAGTTGGCCCAGGCCGGGTTTGAACCTGCCAGCCTTGGTGCACGTGGCCAGTGCTGTAACCACTCTGCTATGGGTGCCCAGCCCATGCCTATAATTTTACTTTTTTTTTTTTGAGAGAGAGAAAGTTTCACTCTGTGCCCTAGGTACAGTGCTGTGTGGCATCATAGATCACAGCAACTTCAAACTCTTTTTTTTTGAGACAGAGCCTCAAGCTGCCCCCCTAGGTAGAGTGCTGTGGCATCACAGCTCACAGCAACCTCCAACTCCTGGGCTCAAGCGAGTCTCCTGCCTCCGCCTCCCAAGTAGCTGGGACCACAGGCGCCCGCCACAATGCCCGGCTATTTTTTGGTTGCAAGCATCATTGTTGTTTGGCGGGCCTGGTCTGGATTTGAACCCGCCACCTTAGTGTATGTGGCTGGCGCCTTAGCCACTTGAGCCAGAGGTGCCGAGCCAACTTCAAACTCTTGACGCTCTTGCCCAGCCTCTTGCTAGCAGGGACTACAGGCACCTACCACAACACCCACCTATTTTTTTTTTTTTTTGTAGAGACAGAGTCTCATATGTTGCCCTTGGTAGAGTGCTGTGGCATCACAGCTCACAGCAACCTCAAACTCTTGGGCTTAGGCAATTCTCCTGCCTCAGCCTCCCAAGTAGCTGGGATTACAGGCACCTATCACAATGCCTGGCCATTTTTTGTTGCAGTTGTCATTGTTGTTTAGCTGGCCCAGGCCGGGAATGGACCACAGTGCTATGAGCGCTGAGCCTAGTTTTTTAATTTTTAGTATAGATGGGGTCTTGCATTTGCTCAAACTCCTGAGCTCAGGTGATCTACCTGCCTTGACTTCCCAGAGTGCTACGATTATAGGCATGAGCCACCAAGTCGGGCCAATTTTTACATTTTTTGTAGACAGGATCTTGCTATGTTACCCAGGTTGGTCTCTCCTTTTTCTTCTTTTTGGCCAGGGCTGGGTTTTAACCCACCATCTCTGGTATATGGGGCCAGTGCCCTACTCCTTTGAGCCACAGGTGCTGTCCCGAGGTTGGTCTCAAACTCCTGGCCTCAAGCAGTCTTCTCAAAGTGTTGGGATTACAGGTGTGAACTACTATGCCTGCCCCCCCCCCTCAGTTTATCCTAAAAGTTTGATTTTATATCTCAGTTTAATAGGTTGTGCTTAGTAAATCCTACATAAGCAAACAATCAAACAGATAGCAAAGGATTTAAGTTGAAAACATAGAAAACCTTTCTGATGTTGAGATATCAGTAAGTAAAAAGTCTGTGGAGGGAGGGTGGCGCCTGTGGCTCAAAGGAGTAGGGCGCCGGCCCCTTATACTGGAGGTGGTGGGTTCAAACCCAGCCCTGGCCAAAAACTGCAAAAAAAAAAAAAAAAAGTCTGTGGAGGGCAGCGCCCACTGTAGCTACAGCTACCCACTATAGCTCAAGCTCAGTAGGTAGGGCACTGGCCATATATACCTGGGCTGGCAGGCTCGAGCCCGGCCTGGGGCCTGCTAAACAACGACAACTGCAACCAAAAAACAGCCAGATGTTGTGGCGGGAGCCTGTAGTCTCAGCTACTTGGGAAGCTGAGGCAGGAGAATCACTTAAGCCCAAGAGTTTGAGGTTGCTGTGAGTTGCACTCTACTGAGGGCAACATAGTAAGACTCTGTCTCAAAAAAAAAAAAAAAAAAAAAAAGAGTTCCAGACCAGCCTAAGCAAGAGAAAGACCCCGTCTCTACAAAAAAACAGCAAAACTAGCTGACCGTGGTGGTGCACCAATGTAGTCCCAGCTATTTGGGAGGCTACAGCAAGAGGATCACTTGAGCCCAAAGTTTAGGTTGCTGTAAGCGAGGCTGATGCCATGACACTCTATACAGGGTGACAGAGTAAGACTCTACCTAAAAAAAAACCCATGAAAATTACCTGTGAAAATAACATACCAGAGTGGCGCCTGTGGCTCAGTAAGTAGGGCGCCGGCCCCATATACCGAGGGTGGCAGGTTTGAACCTGGTCCCGGCCAAACTGCAACAAAAAATAGCCAGGCCTTGTGGCGGGCGCCTGTAGTCCCAGCTACTCGGGAGGCTGAGGCAAGAGAATCGCCTAAGCCTAAGAGTTAGAGGTTGCTATGAGCTGTGATGTCACGGCACTCTACCAAGGATGACAAAGTGAAAGTCTGTCTCTAAAACAAACAAACAAACAAACAAAAAAACAGCTAGGGCTGTGGCTCATGCCTATAATCCTAGCACTCTGGGAGGCTGGGCCAGGTGGACTGCTTGAGCTTTACCAGGAGTTCCAGACCAGCCTGAGCAAGAGCAACACCCTGTCTCTACTAAAAGAAAAAAAAAAAAAAAAAGAACTAGCTGGGTGTTGCAGAGGATACCTGTAGTCCCAGCTACTCTGGAGGGTAAGTCAAGAGGATCACTTGAGCCCAAGAGTTTGAGGCATCTGTAAACTGTGACACCAGGGCACTCTAACCAGGTCAACAGAGAGAGACTCTGTCTCAAAAAACCCAAACAACAAAAAACACAATTATACCAGTATTAACAAAGAAAAAGAAATTCAACCTAGCGTCATCCGTACCAATTGCTGTGAAATAAGCCATCCCAGCAGTCTGAGATATAGTCAGAAGCAGAGTAGATCCACCGAAGGAGAAAAACCTATTGAGAAAGAAAAGAGACAATGGTGGGGGCTGCACCCCCCACCGCCCAACACAGTGCTGCTGCTGACCCGCTGCTGCTCTTGGCAGAGATCCTCAGCGGCACTGCTAGCCCATGAGCCCTCCAGCCATGATGCTCACAGGTGCAAGTTCATCATTCAGGTCAGGAAGCACAGCTTCAGACGACAGAAGAGCTGGATCTTTCCGTAGCTGGTCGATATAACCCAAGAGGATGAATTTATCAGTCTCACTCCCGGTCCAGGGATCTTCCAGGGTTTTATATACCACCCTTCCTGCGGTGTTGCGCCTTTCTAAGATAGACACCTGGGAGCAGAGAACAGGAAAATCATCAGAAGGTTCAAAAGCACATAGAAGATGGAAAAAAGGGGTGGCACCAGGGGCTCAGTGACTAGGGCGCCGGCCCCATATACAGAGGGTGGCGGGTTCGAACCCGGCCCCAGCCAAACTGCAACAACAAAAAAAGTAGCCAGTCATTGTGACAGGTGCCTGTAGTCTCAGCTACTCAGGAGGCTGAGATAAGAGAATCACTTAAGCCCAAGAGCTGGAGGTTGCTGTGAGCTGTGACGCCACAGCACTCTACTGAGGGCAATAAAGTGAGACTCACCTCCCTCAGGCTGGTCTCGAACTCCTGAGCTCAGGTAATCTACTCACCTTGGCCTCTCAGAGTGCTAAGATTACAGGTGTGAGGCACTGCATCCAGCCCAATTTTTCTATTTTTAGTAGAGATAGGTCTTGCTGTGGCTCAGGCTGGCCTCCAATTCCTCATACATTCTACCTGCCGCAGCCTCCACAGTGCTAGGATTACAGGCGTGAGCCAGCATGTCTGGCCAAACCCTTTGTTATTTTAGAGATTTTCCATAATTACCAAATGATGAAAAGTCAGGGGAGAGGAATTTCATGCATCCGTAAGGAGTAATGACAAGGGAGGAGAAAGGAAAGGGAGATCAACTCATGAAAAAGGCTGGAGAAGGAACTCTCCAAAGCATAATACTGGTGGCCTAAAGCAGGTTCGTAAAATATAGGCTGCTCTAGGATCTTACAAGACCTGTCATAGGGAACAACTCGTGAAAAGCACTGATGCACTTCAGCGTTACTGATAGGGAAGAGAGGCTTTCTGTGGAGGCCTGAGGCTGAAATCTAGAATGTGAAATGACCAGGTCAAAGAGTTGTTAAGAGGAGGCTTTCAACACAGGCCTCAGAGATTTCCACATTTCCTGGAGTCGGTGCTCCGTGCTCCCAAGGAAGGAGGAAACAGAATTAAGTGCCACATGCTGGTGAGGCACCTGGATCAGGAGAGAATCTGTGCTCACCGCAGATTTCCCCTGAAAGGCCTCGCCATCCGGGAGCAAGGTGTTGGCAAACTCCTGCTGCCGACTGCTGTAGACGTGCACAAATCTCACTATGTCTTGAGTGTTTGCCAAGGCAAAGGACAGGAAAGCCTCGAAGGGTTTGCTTAACTTGGAAGCCTCGGCAGTCAGTAAAACCACACAGTACCTGCACAGGGAGAAAAGAGAAAACTCTGTAACCCATCCCCCAGAGCAGGGGTAGATCCGTGATGGGGAGTACAGGTGAGGGAGGGAGCCCTTCACGGGACGTGAGCACATTCCAGGGCTTCAAAGTCCTGAACGGCCTGCTTCTTTTCCAAATCGGTGATGTTTTTCCCAAACCAACATTCTTCATGACCTTTAGGAATTTTTTGTAAGGCATGGGTCACAGATTCCTTCATGTGGTGGGGCCTCTTAAAGAGCCATCTGTTCTAGTTCTTCCTCCACAGGAGGGCTGATTGAACCAGTCTCAGGCCGGAGGCCACTGAGCCTCTTTCTGAAGGCTTTCCTTTGCAGGGTTCCAGTGGGAAGCTTTGCTATTCAATCCTTTATTCACTTATTCATTCATTCACTTCCCCAGATATTTGCTGAACATGAACTATGTACCAGGTACATACACAACATTCTAGCCTTCGTGGAGCTTATATTACAGTGGAGAAACAAATAAAAAGATATATTAAGACAGGTAACAAGTGCGATGCAAAAAAAAGAAGAAAAGGGGAGAGAAAGAGGCCAGAGTAGGGTGGGAGTGATAATCCATCAGACGGGCTGGGCAGGGAAACATCCCCCGAGAAGGTGACATTTGCACAGAGACTAAATGAAGCGTCCATTGAGGGAAATGGGGTCAGAGTGTCTCAGGCAGACGGAACTAACCAGGGCAAAGACCTTGAGATGGAGACTGACTTGATCCAACTTGATCTTTTAAAGATCACTTGGCTGATGTGTGGAAAATTGTCCGCAAGGTATGAGAGTGCAATGGGAGTGCAATGGGAGTGCAGGGGACAAGACAGCATGGAGGCTGTCACCATGGTGGCAGGTGGCCTTTTCTAGGGTAGCAATGGTGAAAAGTGCATGGATTTGAGATATTCCTGGAAGGCTTTATAAGCAACTATATTTATAGTCAGGATATTCTTTTTTTATATCTAATAAAGTATAAATGTTATTCTTTTTTCCCCTCTTACACTATAAAGGAATCTTAAAAGTCTAGAAATATTGGGAAATTATTTATTTTATTTTTTAATTTTTTTTGTAGAGACAGAGTCTCACTTTATTGCCCTCAGTAGAGGCATCACAGCTCACAGCAACCTCCAGCTCTTGGGCTTAGGCAATTCTCTTGCCTCAGCCTCCCAAGTAGCTGGGACTATAGGCACCTGCCATAAGGTCCAGCTATTTTTTTTGTTGCAGTTTGGCCGGGCCAGGTTTGAACCCGCCACCCTGGGTATATGGGGCTGGTGCCCTACTCACTGAGCCACAGGCACCGCCCATAAATTCTTTATTTTAAACAATATTTTAGTTGTATTGATATTTTAGATAATAGGATCATTGTTTTCTTCCTAGGTCCAGATACCTTTTACAGATGAAATAGCTCTAAATTTAAAGCCACTGATTCATTTCCCTCAGAAAAGTATAATAGATATTTCGCCTGTATTTCCAGACTGTTTAGACACTCTGCATAGTAACTCTTCACATACTTCATCGAGTAAATATACCTTAGCCTTCCTAATTCTCGGCTAATTCTCTTTTATACTCCACAATTCTTATAAGTGACCAGTCTGTCCCTGACATCTGGCTGAAGACTGCTCATTTTTCAGGTCTCAACTAAAATGCTGTATCTTAGGGACATCTTCTCTGACCCTAGACAAGGCTGGCACATCTAACAATTTGGTGCTCTGGCCTTCTGCGCTAATACATCCTTGCTACCATCATGGTCATTAGTCCATATTTGGTAAATGGTGATTAAATTCTGACTGTCACAGACTAGATGTTTAATCCCCCTGTCGTAAAATGCACTACGGCCCCTTTACTGCAATGACAAGTAGAGGCAAAGCCTTGAGCCCTTACTTCCTCTGTCGGTGAGACCGTTTCACAGGGCAGAGTTCATGGAACAACTTCTGGCTGGTTAGCCTGGCTGCCAACAGATACTTGTTCTGGGCAATGAAATCGTCAATGACTTGTTTCTTCATACCTCGGCCCTAGAGAAACACCAAGAAGCAGTTGGTTTGTATTCAGCTTTCTCACTGCAAATGGGCTTTACTTACAAGCTTAATAAATATATGGCTGACCTTGGCTAAAGTAATAACAACCAAATAAGACAGACCTGCTTGAGCAAATAAACATGCAGTGATCTACTTCAACAATACAGAGCTGAAAGCAATGATGTAGTATTTCAGGCCACAGGAAAAGTCACGTATTCCTTCTACTGGAAAAGGTTTTCTTTTTTGAGACAGAGTCTCACTATGTCACTCTTGGTAGAGTGCCTTGGCGTCACAGCTCACAGCAGCCTCAAACTCTTGGGCTTATGTGATTCTCTTGCCTCAGCCTCCCAAGTAGCTGGGACTATAGGTGC